AATGTACTCAATATGAATCTGAAGCCAGTAGATGATCCAATGCATGCCCAAATAGGAGAAAAACTCATTTCAATTCAACTTGGGAGAAGAGGTCACAGGGAAGGAGAAGGTGGCTGTAGTGCTCTCATTGAATGGGCACCTGGTGGAGGTGTTTGGCACACCTTTTGTGTGTGGGACATAATCACAAAATGAACTCTACCTAACAAAATCAAATATTTTGACCTGGTTACCTGTACCCTCACATTAACCAGAAATAAATCTACTTAAAATTTTAAAAAAGTTCTACTTCTTGCTCTAGGTGCTAGTTTTATGAATAAGAATCCATATGATAAAAATTTATTGAACTGTACTATTGCAATGTGCATTTTCTCTATGTGTATTATGCAATAATAAAAACACAAATGTTGAATATAAAAAATTATCTAGATAATTTATTAAATCCCTATTGAGCAGTTAAAATAATCATGAAAATATAGAAATGTACACAAAAGTTTATTTAGAATAAATAAAACTAACTAAACTTATTTTAGTTTTACCCATAGTTTTAAAAATATTTTAAAAAATTTTTCTATTAGAGTACTTCAGAGAAAATGTATGTACCATGTTAACTGTCCCATGTACATCTCAAAAACATTGAGAATTTTTAAAAATAATTCAATGTCATTAGCAAACCTCTAAAAAATTAATAACATGCATTAATATCTAATGTACCTGGTATACTTTCAGATCCCTCACTGACAAAGTCCTTCTTCTTCTATAGCCAGTTCATTCAAAGTAGGACCTAGACAAGGTAAACTCTCTGTGTTTGGTTCCTAGACAAGGTATATACTCTCTGTATTTGGTTCCTATACTCCGTCTATTTTAAGTGTCTATTAATTTTATAATGTTTTTTTCTGTTTTGCTCATTTATTGCTAATTTTTTAATGTTTGCATGCAATATTCTTTTAGAAATCCTATTAAATGTCCAATGAATGTCTCACATTCTGTATTTGACTGATGGCCCCTTGGATGTGCCATTCAGTTTATCACTTCATTTCATGAATTTCCTACTAGCCTGATTTGATTCAGATGCTTTTTGTTTTAGTATTGCATAGGTACCGTGTGCAGCTTATTCTATAGTATATCCTTTTAGTAGGCACACACTGTCTGGTTTTCTCATGCATGTTAGTGATGTTACTGTGGTTAATGAATTCAGAAGGTGACAGCAAGACTATGTCAAGTTAAAGTTTCCAATCAACCTTTCGCCTAATGGTTTTACTGTCCATTAATGATTTGCCGGGATCAATTTGTTCATTAGGGATGAAAATGTCAATTCTTCCAATTTTATCATTCCTTCTGCATTTATTAGCTAAAATTATTGTGTATGGAAAGTTCCCAGATTCCTTTTAGTTGTGTGATTACCCCAAAGACAATTCATACATACTGATGAATGAATGCAGAATTCTTTTCCTGTGATCATTAACTTTTTGTAATTGATGTTCATTGTGTTGTCTGAGTTTTGCTTCATTCATCCTTTTCTCTGTGTCATTATGAACTCACAGATGTTGGTGTATTCACTATTTTAATCACATAATACATATAGCTGCTATCTTTCCAATGTTCAATGTTACCCCATGTTGTTGGCCAGATGGTACATGCACTTAAAGTTTACCTCTGGGTCCTTTGGCTAAAACATCATTAGCCTTTCTGGGACTTTTTTTTAAAATCTTACTTTCTAGGCTCATCTAATACATTTCCTAATCCATAACTATAAACAACCATTAATCCTAATGACTTTGTCACTTTTTTAAAGGTACAGAATGGTATTTTGAAAATGCAGTTCAGTGTGATAGATGTAGGTTATTAATTGATTGTAGTTAGCATATTTTTTTCAGTAGACAAAGTTAAGAAATAAGTAGTCAGAAATATTGTAATGATTAATATTCCTATGATACTGCTATTATAAATTTGCTTAAAATTAGAGAATTTTTACTTAAATTTTTATGCTGAAATTCTCTACTCCTGAAAAACATCAAATTTTAAAATGTGTCTTAAAGCGTATGCATAATTATGTCTAAATAACTATGCCAATATTATCACTTACAATGAGACTATTGTGTACACCCAAACTTTCTTTGTAGCCAATTTTATCTTTAGCGTGTAGTTTATCATATTTCATATGGAAACATTGTGTTCTAAATTTAATTAAGAATAATTCACTTTTTCTGAGTGCTTAAGCCACCAAATTTATAATTATTTATATTTTTTGCCTTATTTTTAGTTTTCAGAGATTTTTGATCTTTTATTTGGTTTTGTTATATAAAGCACCCACATGATTTCAAAGATAAACTATAGAAGTAGGTACATTCCTAATCTCAGTACATCTGTTTCTTCTCCTATAAATAAGCATTTTCATTAACTTTTTGTTTTATTCTTCATTGTTTCCTTTTATAAATTTAAGCAAATAAAATGTATATATTATGATCTTCCTCCATTTCTTACACAAACATATTATAATTATCTGCTGTTGTGTATGCTATAGCACTCTGCATTCCAGAGGACAGACATCTTCCTAATTTTGCTTTGTAGCCTCATAGTATTTCATTATAGTGTGTATAATTATTTTCTCAACCCATCCCCTACAAATGGATGTATAAGTTATTCAAATAATTTTTAACAAGTAATACTATACATCAATTCTTTTTGTGGTTTTCCAGTGTACCTTTGGGTGGATTTCTAGCTAGAAATGAGATTATGTCAAAGCTTGCTATAATTTTGCTAAATATTGGCAAAGACTCCTGCATGAGTTGAACACTGCATTTCTATTTGCAAAGTATGAGTGAAATTTTTATATAAATAATGACTCGTGATCCTACTGTCTCAAAATGTAGTCACTCAAGGTAAGTATCACTAAGCCCTAAGTGCAGTTGTTTAATCCTCAAAGCATGTATAATCCACTGAGTACTGAGTGTACAGTAAAGCTGTTTTCCTTCTAATTGATAACCATGTGTTTAAGGAGTAGGGGGATGAGATGACCCCGGCTGTGGATCTCTATCACCAAGAACCACAAAGAACAAAGAAAATGGAGTCCAAACGTGACTGAAATAATGTCAGTGGACACAGCGTTGGGAATCACAAACACAGCAAGGAGCTGACAATGTCTGAGGGGACTTTAGATCCTCTGTCAGTGAAAATCCTGGGGCCTCCTTCCAATTTGGCGACAGCCACCCAGAGGCTCTGACCTGGAGGAGTAGCCACTGCCCCTCTGACTGGTCCTCTGAAGGACTTTCAGACTCATTCAAGTCTTTTGGCACTACACTGGTCTTTAGAGCCATACCTGTGATTCCTTACCCACCTCCCAAATACTGCCTTAGATAATTGTATTGGGAATGTTGCTTGAGTGATAGTACATATGAATCTCTTGAAATAAACCATGAATTAGAGCATTGCTAATTAGCACTAAGTTATTGTGAGTACTTCTGACTTCAGATAAGGTTAGCTCACAGGCCAAGAGAACCTCATTAAAATAATTAAAATTAACATAATGTGGTTTTATCAGCATTATTTCATTTATTCTTTTTTTGAGTTAATCAAAGTATCTATCCACTTATTTAATAGACATTTATGTATTTTTTCCTGTAACCTATTAATATTTTATTAAGTTTCTGGATTACATTTTCTTTTCATTTGAAAAACATTTTACTGATTAAAGATATTAATTCTTTGTTATATAATTGCAAATGTTCCCCATTCATCCTATGATATTTTCTATTTATTATTTTAATGTTTACTTAATCCAATGTTATTCTTTTTTTCATTTTTTCTTATAAATTTTCAATCATAATTAGGGAGATTTTACTAAAGCTAGGAACAAAATACTTTACCAAGTCTTTCTTTTACTGTTTGTGTGACTTTACATTTTTACATTTATACGTCTGATCCATTTGCAAGTTATATTCTTATACAATGTAAGAACTAGATGAGTTCAATTCTATCATTTTTCTTCTGAATGGCGTTAATCTATGATTTAGAAGATTAATTTATCCCCACTGATTTTCTATGTCAACTTTATCATAAATTCACTTGGTCTATTTCTAAAATGTCCTTTTTCTTTCATTTGTCTATCTCATTTTTTCCTATTTCAATCATAAAGCCCTCACCATATACACAATATTTATGAATATTCCTTTCTTCACAAATTCCATATTTATTTTCTATGCAAATTAAAAATAGTATAGTTTTAGTTAAAAAATAATTGATTTTTTTAAGTCATACTGAATTTGTGTATCAATCTGAAGAAAATTAACATCTTACTGAGACTGAGGTTTCCAAGAACATCAAATTCCTCTTCAGTTATTCAAGTTTACATCTATGACTTTAAAGATGTTTTAAAGTGGGATGGCATATTTCTTACATATTATGGGCATTTAAAATTATTTGTTACTATTGTAAATGCTCTTCTATTTTAATTATGAATGCTTTTTGTTTTTGTATGTGAGGTTATTAATTTCTGTACATCGACTTAGTACTCAATTTTTTTAATAGATTTTTCTCATTAATTGTACTAATTTTGCCATTTACTCTCTAAGATTATTCGTTCTTATGCCTTAAATTGTTTTTTGTTCATCTTTTTTGTTTATTTTTGTTATTTTGTTTATTGTCAGTAGCAAGCATATTATTCACAATAGTAGTTTAACATACCTTTGTATGTATGTATACATTCATTTATGTCTGGATAAGCTCATTTTTACCTATATTTAGCTAATTCTTTTTTGAGGAACCTGGGTTGAATTATCAAATTTTGTATTGGCACCCATGGAAATTGACATAAATATTTCTCCTTAAAACTCTTAATAATATATGAAGGTTGTCAAAGAAAAATTGTATGTATTAGATGGAATTAAAAAGGCAAGGAAGACATCATTCAGGAGTACAGCAATAGGGGAGGAGATTGAACTCAGGAGATATTAAACCAAAAAGTAAAAGAATTTTATTTTAATTTTATTTTGCATGTGCATTTTAAAAATATGTACTGCTTCACGAATTTGCATGTCATCCTTGTGCAGGGGTCACGCTAATCTTCTCTGTATGTTCCAATTTTAGTATATGTGCTGTCGAAGGGAGCATAGTAAGAGAGTTTTAAAGCATTGGAATGAAGTAGTGAAAATGTACTGGAGACTATTGGAGGCAAGCCACTGTCATTAGGTCATCTGTTTTAACTAATTAGTGCTTATGGAAGTGAGGTTACTACCCTCCCAGGAGATATCTTTCTTAATGATTACATTTCAAAAGGATAGCTCCCAGGTCATTAAGAAAAACATTCTTGAGTTGTAAAACTGTCAAAAGAATCTGGGAGACAATTTGTCTACATTACATGGGCCACTGGAAGAATTTACAATTAACAAATTTTCTAAAGTAAAGTCTCTAAGCAAAGTGAGGTCAGAGCGTACCATAGAAGGAAATCTGTCCAAAGTTTAGTTAAGCTGAGGGGAACATTCAGGTCCTCTTGGTTAATGTTAACAGCTGTTCTTGACATTGTGTGATAAACTTTGCACAATATATATTGTTTCTAATTACTACATTGGGTTTTATTATTTAATATTTGATTTAAATTTGGACATTAACATTCACTGGTGATATTTGATTCAATCTTTATTATATGTGCTTTAAACATTTTTTTCTTTTTTTTTTTATTGAACGGTAACTATGTACATTAATGCACTTAACATTTTTTTCTTTTAGTATTGTCTGGAATTTTGTCATCAGATTTGAAGCTGTCTTTTCTTTAAGGTTTGTTATAACCATCCATCAGGAAAACAAAATGATTCTTTTTGAGGTGTATCTCTGGATATTTATCTATGGAAATTGATATATTTAGCATTGCATCTTTATCAAAATTACTTTTAGTAGGTTATTATCAAAATGCTGTTTTATTTACATTGTTTTTCAATTACTAGGTTTGGATTCATTAGTTTTACTATTTTCCCATTTTTTTCACTTGCTAATTGCTGTGTTCATCCTTATTAATTTCTTTCTTTTTCCTCTTCTTCTTCTTCTTCTTCTTTTTCTTTCCTTTGGGTGACATTTAATTTTTCTTCTCATTTCAAGTTGAATGTTTTATTTATTCATTTTGGTTTTTATTTGTATTGATATAAATATTTAATAAGATAAATTTTATTATTTCATCTAAATCTTATGAATTTTATATGTTATGTTTTGATTATTATTATTCTCTAGAAATTCTGTAATTTCATTTTGCATTTCCACTTTGACCCAACGTATGCCAATTGCTATACTTTTAAGTTTCCAAATATAAAGCTTCTTAATACTAGTTTTATTGTATTGTGGTCAAAGAAATGCTGCTTGCTTATTCATAGTATTATTTTCTAATCTCATTGAGCCTTTATTTGAGGCTGAGCAATAAACTTTCATAAAAAATAAATACAAATTTGAAAAAAGGCATAATATCCATCATGGGGAGCAAGGATTGATACATTATTGATTATAATTTTTAGTCTTACATCTATCCTTTTGTCTAGAATGTCTAACATTCACTATTGTTTACTTTTATTTGTATTTGCCTGCTATGTCTTTGGCTATCTTTTTCTGTAAGTAACTCTAGAGGCAATATTCTAGACCCTTCTAAAACTTCTCAAAGTATTCTACAAGTAATTTTTGTGCCTGCAAATGCACAAATGTTTCTGATAAATGTTGTGGAAACCTCCAATTTCAAGCAACCTCTCTTACAGCCTCCTGTGCTCAGGTTCTACCCTTGGTTGCTACAGCTACATCAACACATGTCTACCTACAAAACAATCCATGCATCAAGCTGTCCTTCAACTTCACAGTCTGGTCCAAGGGTGAGAAATCTGTGCCCTTAAAACTTGGATATTTAGGTCCAGCTTTTTCACTGAATCTGAATTTTACAGATCGATAGTAAAATCCTTTTATTTTTATTAATACATTTTTGTTTATGTTTTATATATATATTTTTAATGAACATATTTAAAACACCAAAGAATAAAATAAGTTTCTATAAAATTATCCCTCCAGATTGAGCAGCACAATTAGCATATTAGCAAGCCCTAGAGGCTAAATTGACAGCTGCTGTGCTCAGGATTTAGTTCTAACTCTCCCCGTCTGACTAGCACCACCACCAAATAAGGCTGGTTGGTGAGAGTTACGGGGTCAAGTAAGCCAGGCTGTTATCAGCTTTTGACAACAGTGTACTGTGTTTCTGTTTGAAGTGGAGTTTGTGAATAGTTGCATAGCTCAATAGCATTTTGTAACTCTGTCTGCTTAATAGCCCATCATGTCAAAAGAAGACCAAGAAAACACTGAAGGAAGAAAAAAGAATTTTTAATGAGGATTTGGAATTGCAATATTATCTTATTTCTGCTAAAGATAAAATAATTGGCTTGTTTTGTGGTACTGAAATATCAGCATTAGAGAAATTCAATGCTGATCAACACTCTTAAGGACCACAAATATATTAAATTAGAAAGAGAGGCATGAAGGCTTGTATTCTGGAAATTAAAAGATGAAAAACAAAAGCAAAGACAATTTTTTTCAAGCAGCAATAAGACCTGGAAATAATGTCACTGAAACAACTCAGAAAGTAGTTTATATACTCTGGAAAAAAGGGAAGCTGTTCCATGATGTAGAAATTCTGATATAATGCATCGTCAAAGTGGTAGGGTACTTAGACCCCAATAATGTTTCAGAGTACAAACATTTTCCTTTTCCAAGACCCATAACTGATTGGAAGCATGAACTAGCCTTCAACTTAACGGAACAACTTCATGCAATACTTCAAAATATATATATACATATATATATATATTATTCAATAACTTTGGATGAACTGATTGACACTACTGTCTCAACCCAGGTTTTATACTTCTTTTAGGTCATAACAGAAAATTTCTTTGCTATGAAGAGTCACTCATTTGGCCACTCTTGTGAACACTATAAGGGAGAAGATATCTTTGACAACTTTCAAGATAAATGTCATGAAGCTGGACAGAATTGGGTAAATTTAGTGAGTGTATATAGAGATGGTGTGCCTTTCATGACAGGAAAATATGAAGGCCTTACTGCACTGATTAAAAAAAATATTATTAACAGATCCAGGTGCTCTCAATTCTTTTCATTGTACTTGCATCAGCAAAATCTCTGTCTAAGGCTGCTTTTTTAAGTGACATTTTGCAACAAGTTATAAGACTATTAACTAATTTCTACAAATGCAACCCAGATTTGTCAGTTTTGTAGCAGGCTAAAGTTGAAAGTTGACGTATTCAGTGTTGAGATGCTGTATCATTTATCATTTTTGCATTGGCTATCTCAGAGACAGTTGTTAACCAAAATTTTATCTCTGAGAGAACAGATAGTTAAATTGTATGAAGAACAGAATCATCGATGTGAGTTATTGAATGAAGATTTCTATAGGAATGCAGTATTTTTGTGGGATATCGGATCAAATCAAATGATTTGAATGTTTCTTTTCAAGGTAAAACTAAGCCTGTACATAATAGGTGGCAAAAAATCCAAGCCCTTCAAAAAAAACTATTTTCAAAACACTGCTTTTTCTTTTTGTTTTTTTGTTTTGTTTTTCTAACACTTCTTTTTCAAAAGGAAATTTTGGAGGAACACTTTCCCCAATTAGCCAAAAACATTGATGAGCAGGATGATGTACGCAAATCATTCGATGACTACACCATTATTACAGACCTGTTAAATGAAGAATGCAATGAATGAAAGGCTCACTGACTTTAAGATTCCCAACATCACACTCGAGTTAGCATGTCAGCCTCACCTTCTTGATATTACCATAGTAATCTGAATTTTACATGAAAGAACCCAAAGTAACCAAAAGTTACTAAAGTAACTAAAGAACTACAGGTAGCATCCCTTGAGTTCTCAGTAGATGACATTTGTTTGATGCTGAGAAACATCCATCTAAAATATGTAAAAATCCAGTAGAATCCCCACACCTGTGGCAATGTGTTTTAAAAATGCTTTCTTGCTTTTCAACCACTTATGCTACAAAGCTACTTTCTCCTGCCTAACGCAAGTCAAGATGCCCTTAACATCACTAATGACTGGTGCTCACCTAGAGGATCAACTGAAAATGTGGACCTTTATGATGCAACCAAGTATTCTAGTGTTTTCCAATATAAAGCAGACACAACAAAGTTATTAAAAGGTTAGCAAACTTTAAAATAGCAAATAGATTTCGTTTCCTGAAATTATTCAGTACATAGTAGCTAGGTTTTTACTAAATAATGTACATTTTTAAGTGTCTCTAGTTGAAACTTTTCTAAATGTGGCCTTATTTGATTATAGCTAAATTAATCTGGTTTTCTAACATGAAAAGATTCCCCCTCCTGGTAGGGGCTTTAACTAGGAAGCCATTTGAGGCTATTTTTGTTTCCAAAAAACCCCAGCACATATTACTCTGGCCTCTAGAGGGAAAAGGAATTGTGAGTAAACACAGTATTCCTCCCAATGAATAACAATTATATTAGGAAATCCAAAAATAACACATGGATATTATTCAAGAGATTGTTTTTTGTAAGCATATTGATCAAGTAGTTGGATGTTGGAATATTGTTTTCTTTGTTGTCATGTCATTTGGGGTTTTCATTTTAACCATATGTTGATTGAAAACAGAGGCATCTTTCTAAGATATTTCTCCCCATATCTCGGTGCTATTGTTATTTTTTTTTTCTGTAATTTAAAACATCCTATGAGTCACTGACTGTGTGCCCCAGGTCTATATCTGCTTGGACATCGCAGGCACTGCCAGTGCATTCTTTTCCTTCTGTGACTGAAGCAGCTTTACCATCTCCTTCCTGATACATGTATTTATTTAATTTTCTGAATCACCATGTTTTTAATATGTTTCCTGGAAAAGACACAGTTTTGCATTTCATTTTGCAAATACGATTTTTTAGTAGGTAATATTAAAGTAAAAGTTATGAGAAGCCGTGGTTTTGGACTGGGCCCCTGCACTAGACTCCCACAGACCAAACAAACCCAAAATGGAATCACACAGGCTAAAATGCCTCCTAAACTGAAACTTTAAGAAAACAGTCCCCCAATAGGCCAGTTTTTCCTGAAAAGGG